TTGTAAATATCAGGCCCTTATATGTAATTATTTTTAATTTGAGCCCTTATTTGTAATTATTTTCACTTTTCAGGCCCTATATGTAAATTTCCCTTTAATTTATAACGTAGATATTATATCAATATTACAGTAAATTAATAGTGAATGAATTCAAAAATAGAATTTATTATGCCGAAAAAATTACCGGCCAAAAAATTTTTCGGCTAATTTTTTTATAGATGTCCCAGGAATAATGAAAACAGCTTTAAAAAAAAAAAAAAAAATCTGACCCGCCGACCAGAATTTTGAAACACCAGGTTATGCAAAACGAAAAATTAACTTTGCATAGCCTTACTGTATTTCGAATTATTAATTTTTTATTTGAATAATAAGGTTTAAAAAATTCAAGTTATCATGATTCATTAAGAGTTGCTTTTAATAGAAACTAAAATTTAAATTGATCTGTTCTTCAATTATCCCATAAACACTAAGATGAAAACCAATCTTATATCTTCTACTGCATTCTTTCCTTTTTACTGTTTCAAATTTACAAACTACAACCTTTTTATTTTACTTGCCATATTATATGGCATAAAAAGCATAAATTGAATTTATAGTATAATATTGTTATTGCCGTAATTTTGTTGTGTCAAAATGCCATATTGCTCAATAATAATCAGAAGAATTTAGAAGTATATTGGTAGATTGAGAAAGCATAATGTAAGGTTGTGAAAGGGCATTAGATTGAATATCTATATCATTAAAGCTCTACGCCTGTCCTTGTTAAATAAAATAAAAATTTTTAGATTTATAATTTTTCTACAACCTTGTAGAATTACTTAAATGAACGAGCTTAATAGGTTGAAGATTCATCAGACATTTAAAATAAAATTCTATATTTTAATTGGAAAGCTAAATTAATTTAACTGCTTAATAATGATAAACAAAATAAAAACTTCTATTTGATTAAATATGGCACTGGAACAACATAATCTGCCCAAAGCCTCCTCTTCTGTTGATAACTTCAGTTTTAATTCTAAATGAATTTCTTTGTTTTAGTATTATATCAGCTCTAACTCCTTTGCAGAAACCTTTGATTTTGCTAAATAAGTTTACAATATTGCTACAATATAATGCATGTCAGAAATGTGTGCCAGGTTTGTGGTGCAGTAAAAAACCTTTAAGGTTCGTTAATGTTAGGGTTAGCATTTATAATAAGGTTAGAGGTTAGGTAGTTTTATAGTAAAATCACTTAAGGAAAACTTTTTGTTAGAGCACTTAGGCTGATTTCTTATAAAGATTTTTGAGAAATAAGCAATTTTTGACTAAACGAGCATTTGTTTTGAATTTTCTAATCGTATTACATTACATCTGATCTTGAAATCTGATTTGTAGTTTAGGTTTATTTAATAGAATTTAGAGAATAGAGTAGGCAATATGCGCCACATTTGCACCACAAACCTGGCACATATTTCCGATATGCCAATATAATTCCAATATTATGAGAGTTATTATATGATAAATATATTTTAATTAGAATTTTATATTTTGGTGCATATGCGTTGTGACTAAGAATGTATCCAAATTAAAGCAGGAAACCAGTGTAGAGAATGTAATACAGATCATTTCTTTTTTGGTAGTTGGCTAAAGCGAGTTTGAGTTAGGGTTAGTATCGTAGGAGGACTTTTGCTGATTGGCTAATATAAATCAATTGCCTGTGTAACTAATTTATACAGTTTAAAGTACTTTTTAAACTGTAACGTTTCACCATTTTATCTATAAAATTTTTTCATAATTAGTTTCAGAAGAGCGTTGCCTTTAACTATGCAAAATAATCTTAAAATAATCTAAAAAACCAAGAACTTTACTTAGAAGCGAAGATGAAGAATAACAAGTAAATTCCTAACTTGATGATATTTGAATTTTAACAGCTATATTATGTTATTATCATTATAAATTCATTTTACTATTACTTAAAAGTGAACAAATAAAATGGAAGATATTTTAGAAATTCAATCAAATATGAATAAATCAGATATTTTTAATGAATCAAATATTCGTGAGGTAAGAATCCATGATTAGATTTGACAAATCTGTTAAAAGCAAAATTATAATCAAAAAAAAAACCAATTTCAAAAAAGGTGTTATTTCACCAAAATCATAACCAAAAAAACTAATTTCAAAAAGGCATTATCTCACCAAAATCCAGAAGAAATAGATGACATCATAGCTTCACAAAGTTTATTTCCCTGCAAGAGATAAATCTAACTGAAGGTGAACAAGTAATGAAAAAACATTGACATATTCTTAAATTTAATTTATCAACTAAATAATTTTTTTATCCAATACAAATAATAATTCTTAAAGAAGTTTTTAAAAAAAATATTTGACATGTGGATTGAATTTTTGAATTTTTTGTCAGTATTAAGTTTTTTACCAGAAGCTATTGAAATTTAAAAGGAAGATAATATCAAAAGTCAAATTAAAAAATATTTGGAAAAAATTTCTAACAATGAAAACAGTTATAATTATTCAAAGGAACTAAAAAAAATCTAATCAATTCTTTGTTCTTATCGTGATCGATAAAGATACTGGGAAAAGAGACAAGAAATAAGTCCAGAAGCAAATATTTGGAACTGTGAATTTGTCAAGAGTATAAGGGCTGCAAATCTCATAAATAAAATATTAAAAGAATCATCTACCATTTATTATAAAGGTAAATTAGCAATAATTAAAAATGAAATAGTTGTTGTCAGAAGTTCAGTCTATTGACCCTTCTAGACTAAAACATGTGTCAAAGAAAGAATAGATTAATATCATCAAAAATTGAAGAAAAAGAACTAACAGATTATAAGCTATCTGATGAAGGTTTAAAAGAATTATAAGAGAGCTTTTAAAGATTATGTTTTACGATGAAATTTGTTTTCTATTAATGCAAATTATTTATTATAATTTTGGTATAATTTTTATTTTTTTTGCATCTATTTTTTATTTTTTTTATTTTTGCAAATAAATTTTTTTAAAATCATCTATTTATAATATTAAAATTTTGTGTATATAGTACAATTCATGAACTTCATAAGTCATAATTTTATATTGTTAATTTGCATAATTATTTAAAAATAAATTAACAATTTTAAAGAAACAAAATTTAAGAAAGCAGGCAAAAAATAGATAAAACTATAACCTACATGAAATTCAAAGCGACCAGGACCAAAAAATTATAGAACTAAAAAATATGGTCTAATTTTTTCGAAGCTCTTATTCCTCTCTCGCCAAAGACATCAAGGCCTTGTAAGTTTTAAGCCACCAGCTATTAGGGTAGAGCAAATGGGTGCTAGAAAGTGCAGCTAAAGGATCATCACTATACAAAGTTCGTCATCTATACAAAGAGCAGAAGGTTCGTTATCTGCACAAAAAGCTGAAAGCTCATTAGCTATACAAAGAAGGTCTGCTCCTCCAAGCAATGAAGGAGTAACAAGTTAGCTTGGTTTTGAAAACAATAAGGCTAGAAGAAAAGCATTTCGAGTATATATATATTTCTTGATTTTTTTTAAATTCAAACCTAATTTTATTAATATCAGTTTTGTATACCAATTTCAGATATTGTAGCAATCAAATTTGGACATTATAGCAATCAAATTCGAACATTGTAGCAATTAAATTTGAATATTGTAGCAATCAAATTTGGACATAGTAGCAATCAAATTCGGACATAATAGCAATCAAATTTGTACATCTTAACAATCAAATTTGAACAGCAATATCTTATTATCTAGTAATTAGAATCATACAATTTTAGTACCAATTAACTTATCTAGTCCTAATGAGTTGAATAGTACTAAAATTGTATAATTCTAATTATTAGATAATAAGATATTGCTGTTCAAATTTGATTATTAAAATGTACGAATTTGATTGCTATTATGTCTGAATTTAATTGTTACTATATCCAAATTTGATTGCTACAATGTTCGAATTTGATTGCTATAATGTCCAAATTTGATTGCTACAATATCCAAAATTGGTATACAAAACTGATAATTAATTATATTCGACTTATATTAATTATATTTGACATATATTTATATTTATTTTTTTTTATTAATTATATTCGACATATATTTATATTTATTTTTTTTGAATCAAAATTAATTTACTATTAATAGAGTGAACTCTTTATTATCCTCAATGAAAAAGATGGTGATTTTGGTCTTGACTTCGAAGTGAAGTGAAATTAACAAAAAGATCGCTTGAGTCAAAATATGATCCCTATGCTACTTGAACTTTTGGGCAAGAAATATAAAATAAATCAGACCAAGTTGGTAAACATGCTAAGGTAGCTTCTCAAATCATCTTGTAATACTCAGATATATATCAGAATTCATGCACATATACATGAAAACTACCAAAAAGATGATACAGTTGACTCTGGATATAACAAACCTTTTTATAACGAACACACTATATAATGAACTTTTTTTTTTAAATTTATTATAAGTTTAGTATATAAAATATAGTAAATTACTATATAATAAACTTTTTAAAAATTTTTACTATAAGATCCATCAGTTCGTTATAAACAGAGTCGACTATATATGAATTATATATATAAGGGAAGCATGCCTAATTTGGCATAGTGCCTAATTTGACGCATGACAATATCTCAAAAACTATCAATCAGAATTGCATGATTCTGGTATCATTTGATTTGTCTCATTGAGATGAACCGAACGGTACCAAAATCATGTGATTCTAATCAATAGCTTTCAAGATACTCTATTTAACCAAAATCATAACCAAAAAAACTAATTTCAAAAAGGCATTATCTCACCAAAATCCAGAAGAAATAGATGACATCAT